GCATTGAAGCAACTGCCATGTGATTGGTTGATTAGATAATTGCATTAATGAGAAATTGAACAGGTGTTCCTAATAATCCTTTAGGTGAGTGTATATTTATTGAACATCTTGAACACAAGTCGGATGCATTCCATCTGCCAAAGAAGTGCAATACCATGGACCCATATCAAAAAGCAAGATCTTTTGCTTAGCCAGACAACTTGTCGGATTTAAGGTACCTCAGTTTAAATGGTCTTTATCTTCGTTCACTTACAGTTAGCCCGAACTACCGTAAATGCGACAAATAATCCGACTAATCATGAAATCCAATTCTAGCCCGGTTAATTGGTAGCCATTGTTAGCAATATTAGTTGATAACACATTACGCGCAGTGCTTTACGTATAAAACTCTATAGCAACACGTCCAAAGATAAGTTGGATGGTATAGTGTGTGCAACCGATTTAATGAGCCACAAATGAGAAGTAGTGCTTAAACAGTATAAAACTACAACTTTCCCTTCTGTTCATAAAGGGCGTAGCCATCTTGGATTCTGAACTCAGGATCCTCTGTGCTGCTCCGAGAAACGGGAGCACGCATGTCGTCACTTCCGGCTTCAAAATTTGGTATCCGACTCGGAATACGAGTTCCGAGGGCAAATGGAACGCACCAAAACTGCCCGAAATGGGTTGACAGAGAGATTTCAGGGATTTTGAGTCATTCTGCGCTGCAGATGGGTTAATTGCATTAATTTTTTTTATCAGATTAATCATGATGATGGATTAATCCGCGTTAACCCGTTAATTTTGACAGCCCTACACACTACGGTTATAGGTATTGCTACAGATATGTGACCAAACACAATAGTAAAAAAAAAAAAAAAAGGATTTATATGAGATTCAGTTCATGTCTGTTATGTAAAAGACAAAGTAAAAAAGTACAACACTTATTTGTACAATGTGCAATAGTCTCTGAGCTTTTTGCTATTCAGACAGGTCAACAGACGCATTGACACTGGTTTATAACTGTTCCTAAATATATTTGTGTTTGCAGCTTTAATAATAATTAAAAAAACAAATTCTGTTTTCTCTCCTGTATGAAACTGCGCCAAACTGAGGTTTGTTCCAAATCGTGAATTTTGTGTACTGTTACACCCCAAATCTAGGACACCGAAGATGGTAGATAAGAAGATCCCTCCCAAATCACAC